ACAAATCGAATATTCTCATTTGATGTTATTAACTGTATCTAGAAGGAACGCACTGGAGAAAAAATTACGTAGAACAGAAAATCCGACACGCAGAGTGACATCTGACTGTCAGAGTAACAGACAGCTAGACAAGGATAAATTGTTCAGCCACTAGTTAGAAAGACACACCAATAAAGACTCACAGAGAGGAGCAAATTTCCATGCTTGATTTGGACAGAAAATTCATCATTATGACGTCAAAGCTAGCGATTTTTATATATCCTCTAATTTTTCTTTCATTCCCACGTTTCTCGTGTACCTTAAGACGGTACATAAGCTTAAGGCAATTCTTTCCTCCCATTCCAGAGACAGTAACGTTCCGTTCATTCGTTCTGTCTTTTCGGTTAGGTTGGGATTACCACTGGTACCGCCTCGATAGCGACGGTAAATGGTCTCATAAACCCGGCCGAACCCGTGTGGTAAAATATGATGACGTCGCCAAAGACATCACTGATCCCAGGAATGCCAATATGGGCAACTATCAATTTGTTTGTTTTATGTCCACTGATAGAAATGCTGTTGCCATTATCTGAAACCATCAACTTACTCTATATTGAATTACAGTATAGCTGTCAGAGCTGAAGCCAATGAAATTGCAATTGAATTAAGTCATGAGGAATTATCTTTTCTCTGATGTAACCTCATCAATGACAATAAAAGGGTGCTTACGCTTCTCTTAATTGTAACTATTTGCTCTTTGCATGAGATAGACGTTTTTTAGTGAGTAAGACAGGCAAACTGGGAAAAAGAAATCGCGAGTGCTCGTAAGACCTATGGTTCGACTCCTGATAGGAGCACTCGGAATTTCTTTTCTCCGAGTATGCCTGTGTGATTCACCGAATAAAATACACCATTCTCATTTATTCACCAGACTTGAAATATTCCACGACAATCATTTCCGTTTCCTTTATGATCATCCAACTGAGTGTAGCCCTGAAAAGGGCCATATGAGGTGATTTTGATTGACGCTTTGACAATCTGGGCTGAAGTCATCATCAGAGTCCAGTAAATTGTGGATGCCGAAACTTTCTATCATGTTCAAAGCTTATAGGAGTGATTCATCGGAACCGTCTAAAATAAGGGTTATGCCATC